CCCCCCCCCCCCCGCCACCTGCCACAAATAGCCAGTTGTCTTAGCGCTGTTTTTTATATAACCCACGTTTGGTTATAATGGCTTAGCTTAGAAGTAAGAGAGCTATGGAGCAGTATAAATATATGTGCCATTGTGTGCTTCCCTCTGGGGAAGCAGCGTGCACAGTTGAATCCATGTGATGGTGACTTGGATGGGAGATGAAGAAACTGTCACGATTGAGGCGCCAGAGGAGTAGTGTGAGGTGTGAGCCAGGGAGATGGAAGATTTGCAGAGTCCTATGCCTATCACCCAGTATTCGAAACGTTATCTTGTGGATGCAACAGTAAATGTATTTTGTGTTTATTTTAGAGGGAAGAAGTTGGCTCAGTGGGTAGAAGTTACAAGGAGGGAGATATCAACTCAGCAAAAGGAATAACTTTCTAACTAAATACTGGAACAATCTAACAAGGAACTGACTATCTTGCAGAGTAGTGAGTTATAGGAAGTGTGTCTGCAGACCTTGAGCAGTCATTTATTAGGGAAGTTCCTGATTCCTTATCTCCTGGGTGGGAGATTGCATTGATTACTGAGCTGTTCCTATGTGTCTGTCAGCCACTGTGCTTAGTGCCCCATCTACACTCGCCCATGTTCATAAAAGCCTGGTGAGGGAGGTCTGCTAACCACTGAGACCCCAGGAGGTTTGGGGACTTCGCCCATGCTGCGACGATGGCTGGTGGTGGAGCCAGGCTCCGTCCTGTCCACAGCACCTGTCATCTCATTTCTAAGTGCCCCCCAAAAGCATTTGGATTCTCATTTTCTTTTAAGAGTAAGTTTAAAAGAAAACTGCCTCAAGCGACTCTTTTTTGGTGTGTGTGTGTGTGTGTGTGTGTGTGTATGTGTGTATATGCATGCATCCAGATAACATTTGTATTCATTACTCTTGTGTATGGTTAAAGCCATTACAAGAGTTTGTGAGCACGCAGTGCCCTGGGGCCAGTTTTGTTATATATTCCTTAAGGAATTAAAATTGGGTTTCTCTAAGTGTATTTACTTAATTGAGGCATTCCCTCAATTAAAGTGGTAAGTCTTTCTCATTTTGTTTTCTTTTTTACCTACCTAAGTCCTGCCTTTTGTGGTTTTCCTACTTTTGTATAAACACTGTCCCCCTTTCTCTTTTACGTCAACAAAAGTGCCCTCTCTTCCCTTTTCAGCCACTGCTGTAACCTGTAGAGGTGTGACACTGACCATCTTTATAGCTGGACAGAATTTAACCTGCAGAGCTATGACTTACTGCCCGTTCGTGCCCCAAGAGCCGTGGTTTTCCGGAGGTGATTTGAGCAGTGGAGTCGCTGCCATTTATTACTAGGTCTACAGACTCTCCTCTGCGTCCCTTTGGGTTTAACATTGCTGGGAAAGACTGAGAAGTTGCTGGTGAGGTGTTTGGCTTTCTGAGCAGAGGCATCAAACCTTGGGCCAGCAGAGGGCTGGGAAGTAAGTGCCGTGGGTCTTGATGGATGGCTCCATGGCGTGGTCACTGATGCCCTCCTCCCTCTCCTGACTGCTGCCGTGGCCCCCTCACCCCGGCTCTTGCCTTCAGAGCATAGGTGTGCTGTGGCCTCACTCCTGTGCGTCTCCTCTAGTCTTATCACCGTGAGCGTGCCTAGCTCACAGCGACCTGCAGCGTGGTGCAGCTGCTCACAGGCAGCAGGAGCGTGCACATCTCTGCCTCGCCCGTTGCCAGCAGTGCCCTGCACTTCGTCTAGAGAAGATGTGCTCATTTGCTAAGAACAGCTCTCCTGGGGGCGGCGGTCGGGAGTCGTTTCTCTCGAGTAGCTGGCCTCCCCTCTCCCGTGGAAGTGCTGCTGCCCCCTCACCCCCCGTGCTCCCACCGAAAGTCCTGTCACCTGTAAAGTGTCTTTAGCTCTGGGTGGATGTGTTCATTTACTTGTCTTCTCCTTACCTGCATGCCCCTGAGGGGTGAGGCCCTTGTCACCCTGTGTAAGCCAGGGCCTCGCTCAGAGTATGTTGTAGTAAAGCACTTTTAATGGTCTAGGTTGGGGAAGAAGAGAATAAACGTTGCATCGTTAGGAAATAATGCATAAATGTGTCGCTGCCAAAAGTGGAGAAGGAGTTCTTCATTTTGGGTTTTTTCTTTCTCTAGGGATATACCAGTTCTGGGAAGTGAACCTTAGGCAGTGCTCAGATCCACACCTTAACCTAGTGGTATTGAGTCCTGTTCATTGGAAGCTGGTTCTGAAATGTTTCCTTCATTCATTCAGCAAACATATATTTAGCGTTTACTGTGTGACAGGCTGGGAATATAGTGCTGAACAAGCCGAATGAGGTCCCTGCTCTACTGGAGTTTGCAGTGCAGTTGGAGAGCTATGAGTTAAATAAGTATGTAACAAATCTAATACTACTACACTGTCAGGTAGAGGAGTCGCCTCTGTTCTTTGGTTGTTTTCTGGGCTCTTTGTGTTATGGAGGTGGATTTCTGAATAGTCCTACAGACAGCTTCTAAATTTCCAAAGTTTAGTCTTTGTGTTATGCAAAAAAATCAGTTTTCCAGTATGAAACTGGGGGTACGAGGACAGATGTGACCCTGTTATCAGCTACTTGCAGCCTTCACTCCCAAATCCTGGAATGTGTGGTCTGTGTTCACTGCTTCACACTGCTTCCCCAGAGTTCCCTGGTGGCCTCGTGGTTAGGATTCAGCGCTTTCACCGCCGTAGCCCAGGTTCAACCCCTGGTCAGGGAACTAAGATCCGGCGTGCCCCCCCCCCCCCAAAAAACAACAACAACAACAACAACAACAAAAAACAACCACTGCTTCCTTTCCCCCAGCATCTATCAGTCCATCCATTCACCAGATGGTCTGTGAGGGCCGGGAGCTGTCCTACGTAGTGTGCATTCACTGTGGGTATAAGGTAAAGTCTTGCCTTTTAAATAGAACTCATATTTAAGGGAATATAAAATAATATGTGAAAACAAAGATTTTGGGTAGTCGTAAGTGCTCTGAAGGAAATCACTCTCAGGTGATTTAATATGACTTCTGTCCCTATCGCTCTCCTGAACAGGCTTTCCTAATGATCACTGTTTGTGGCCTTAAAAAAAATAATTATGGGGTTTAAAAACAGACATGAAACTAGAGAGGATAGTAAAAAGAACTATTGCTTCGTATTAGCCATCATCACCATTTTGCTGACATTGTTTTATGTGCTCCTTTCCCCTTTCCTTTACCTTCTCACTGTAGTATTTTAAAACCAGTCCCAGACACCATATGATTTCGTGCTGGTGGCCTCTTGGCTAGTCTGACCCAGTAGGCATGCTCAGCCCTCACCCTCCTGGAGTCTTTTTTTTTTTTTAATATGTTTTTAAAAATTAATTAATCTATGGCTGCCTTGGGTCTTCGTTGCTGCGCGCGGGCTTTCTCTAGTTGCAGCGAGCGGGGGCTCCTCTTCGTTGCAGCGTGGGGGCTTCTCATTGCGGTGGCTTCTCTTGTTGTGGAGCATGGGCTCTAGGTGCGTGGGCTTCAGTAGTTGTGGCACGCAGGCTCAGTAGTTGTGGCGCACAGGCTTAGTTGCTCTGCGGCACATGGGATCCTCCCGGACCAGGGCTCAAACCTGTGTCCCCTGTATTGGCAGGCGGATTCTTAACCACTGCGCCACCAGGGAAGCCCCCTCCTGGAGTCTTTACTGCACTGGTCATCCTGCTGTGTCACTCTTGTGTCACCAGGCTTCAGTCAGGTGTGGTTCTCTTGCTGCTCTTATTGTTCCCGTGCTCCTTTGCTGATTTTTCCTTCTCCAGCTGTGACCCCTTCTCAAGGCTTTGTCTGGTAAGTATGTGACCGAGAATTTACTGTCCCTTCTGCATTTCATTAAGGAAAAAAAAGCTTGCAAACATTCAGAGAAGATTTTGTTCACGGAGGCTGTATGTTTTATTTATTTTAAAATTTTATTTATTTCATTTTTGGCTGCATTGGGTCTTTGTTGCTGCATGTGGGCTTTTCTCCTGTTGCGGCGAGCGGGGTCTACTCTTTGTTGTGGTGCGCGGGCTTCTCATTGCGGTGGCTTCTCTTGTTGCGGAGCACGGGCTCTAGGTGCGCGGGCTTCAGTAGCTGTGGCACATGGGCTAAGTTGTTTGGCGGCATGTGGGATCTTCCCAGACCGGGGCTCGAACCCATGTCCCCTGAATTAGCAGGCGGATTCCTAACCACTGTATCACCAGGGAAGCCCTGCTGTGTGTTTTAGAAATGCCATTTGGATGTTTTGCTGCTTTTCATTTTTGGCATTAATTTCAGTTACTGTCATTTCTTCCGTAAAATAAAAAAAAATTCAGACATAAGCCAGAAAAGTAATTAATTTGGTCTGCAAAGGACAAACAGAAAGAGTACAGAATGTAGTATTTCCAGGTAATAAATCACAATACACATATTTATTATTCACCTATCAAACTGTTAATTCAAAAGTCTTCACGCATGTATTTCATTAAAGGTGTAACATAAATTAAGCCTCTAATGAGATGTCTATCTTTTTTTTCTTTTTCCATCCTAGAATGTATGACAGCATGTCCACAATGGTGTACATAAAGGAAGACAAGTTGGAGAAGCTTACACAGGATGAAATTATTTCTAAGACAAAGCAAGTAATTCAGGGCCTGGAGGCTCTGAAGAATGAGCACAATTCCATTTTACAAAGTTTACTGGAGACACTGAAGTGTTTGAAGAAAGATGACGAAAGTAATCTGGTGGAAGAGAAATCAAACATGATCCGAAAGTCACTGGAAATGTTGGAGCTTGGCCTGAGCGAGGCACAGGTACAAGTCTCAGATATGAACGTGAAGTTGACAGTCTGGAAAAGGGGAGACTTTGTTTGACATACGAAGTTTAACTAAACTAGAGGGCAGATACTTACAGAATAATAGAAATTAGCTTATATGTGCGTTATGTATGTCATACAAATGATGATTTGGGCATGTCTACATTTTAAAAAGAGCGAAAATAGAGGTAACTCTGTGTCAGTTAGGATTTGATTTGGCTGCATATATCAAAAAACAAAAACAGTGGCTTAAATATCATAGTCATATGTAAAAGCGCATACTGAGGTGGGCTGTCCCAGATGGGTACTATAGCTGTATGGGTGTCAGGGGTACCCAGGACCCTGCCACCTGCTGCACTACACCCCAGTCAGCCTATCTCGTGGGCTAAGACAGAGTCCCAGCTGCAGCCACGTGACCCCACCCTAGGCCTGCAAAGGGGCAGGAAGGGTGTGCCTCCTCCCTTTACCTCCTTGAAGTGTGCGTGCACTCTGCTTACACCTCATTGGCCAGAACTTGGTTCCGTGGGCACACCTAGTTGTGAGGGACACTGGGGATGTTGTCTTGCCCCTTAGAGTTCCAGGTTCGTAAGCCTGAGGAAGAAGGGTGAATGTTGGCCAACAGCTCATAGTCTGTAGCACCCCAAGGCAAGATTGTCTTCTGCACTTGACCAAACCTTTGTTTCTATCCTGCTAGACAGACAGATAAAAAAACTGGAGACATTTAGGTGTGCCCCTCCCCCCCCGCCATAACTTGCAGCTTTGCCAACATATTTTAGGTAAAATTAAATACACTAAAAATTGGCTTCTTTCTTAGCTTTCGTCTTGTATAGCGAATGAATGAGGCGGAAGTGGGGCTGCTGGGTTACCAGTTCCTGCTTTCACAGAGGAAATCATTCTGTACCAAAGTGACGGCCATACCCTGATTTTAGAATTCTTCATCCTAAGCATGTTACAGATTCTAATTGTAGGACTTTGGTTATTGTGAATCTCTTATTTTGCAAGTTGTGTTGAAAAGCGATATGGGGTGAACCTCCTTTTTTAGTTTGGCAGATATTGGGGTTAAAAGAAGGAGGAGGAAAGAGCCCCACCTTCTAGGGTGTCAGGTTTTAGGCCTACGAGGATAATAAAGAGGGAGGGGCAGGTGCATGGTCTGCAGAGAGGACAGACCGAAGCCGGCTTTCCTCCCCAACTCTTCCAGCCCTTATCCTCCCAGGCAGGCTGGTCCCTGAGACCCATCAGCGCACCCCAAGCAGAGCCCAGTAGGGACCTCCGCTTATGAGTGCATCAGGGCGTCCTGACTCTTGGTGCTGGCCACACCGCAGAGCCTTCGTGCCTTCCCCTGCAGTGGCGAAGAAGTCTTGTCTGTGCGCCCCGCCCTAGCTCCACGACCAGCCCCTCACAGAGTGGCCTGTACTCGGAACACGTGTGCAGCTGTGTGCACGTGCTCTCACCCGTGGCAAAGGGTCTCTGAGAAATTCTGTTGGCGCCATCTAGATAAAAAGTGAAGAAGCACAGCTTCATCAGTACACTAGCTGCCTGTCCATTGCTAGTCCATTCGAGATATTTTCTAAACAGAAAAAAGAAATGCATTTTTCATAGATGTTCTGAGCATGTGATATTCTTGATCATGCCCTGAATGTAGCCTGTGACTAAAGAAAGGGTGGAAATAGAAGTCAATGGCAAATTATACTTGTATGTACTTTGGAGCACGTGTCTGCAGGTGTCAGCTAGAGCTACAACCCCAGGACGCTTGCGGAGACGGGAGGTGGCGTTTGTTGGGCTGAGTACTGCAGTGCTGTCAGCGTTTCTGTCTGTCTAGGTTATGATGGCTCTGTCAAATCACCTGAATGCCGTCGAGTCGGAGAAGCAGAAGCTGCGCGCACAGGTTCGTCGTCTGTGCCAGGAGAATCAGTGGCTGAGGGATGAATTGGCCAACACGCAGCAGAAATTGCAGAAGAGTGAGCAGTCTGTGGCTCAACTGGAGGAAGAAAAGAAGCATCTGGAATTCATGAATCAGCTAAAAAAATACGATGATGACATTTCTCCATCAGTAAGTGGTTCTGTAGGAATGCAGTATTGACAGTTACCACGTTATCGTCGGTAGATTGTTTCAGTAAAGCCGGCAGTGTTTTCCTGTTCCCTCCAGCGATTGTGTTTAAACAAGACCATGGATTAAGGGTCTTGGGACTGAGTCCCTGGGCAAGTCATATAAGTTCTCTCTGGAGTAGTTTCTTTGTATGTGTTTTCTTTGAACGATGGTCAGTTCAAAAAATACTTTGTAAATATAAAATAAATGCAAAGAGGTGCCATTGCCTTCAACGAGGTCTGTTGCAGCTTGAGATCTCCTGAGCATCCTCACCCTTTGCGGTCTGGCTTCCATGCACATCCCGCTGCTGGAATGCTTTTCCTTTAACAGTGCCCTGATCCAGTCGCCTGAATCCAGACTCGGGACTACCTCTGTAGTTTGTGGTGGATCCTCACTTTCTCTTTGCAGCCCTCTGCCCTGCTCCCAGGACCCCACTGGTTCTCCTGCGCCCTCGCTCATGCCTCCTTGGCCTCCTGCGGTTCCTGGATGTTAGGGTTCCCCAAGGATCGTGGTCTTTTCCTTCTCCTGTTGGCTCTCTCTGGATGTTCATCCCAATCTCGATTACCGTTTTTCGTTTACTGTTTATTTCTGATTCAGTTAACTTTTTTTTTAAAGTAACCTTCTTTATTTTGGAAAAATTTTAGATTCACAGAAAAGTCAGAGGTGGGGCCTCTGGGAGGTAGTGTGGGTTAGTTGTGGTCATAAGGATGGGGCCACCATGACGACATTAGTTACACAAAGAGCAAGAGACCCTAGGTCTCTTGACGTGATACTGTAAAGAGAATTCCCACATGCCCTTCACCCAGGTTCCCCTAGTGTTAACATCTTGTATCACCGCATAATGTGTCTGAGTTAACTTGGGGTGCTGACTGTCTCCAGAGTACCGTAGGCTACATGGCTTAAACAATAGACCATTTCTCCTGGTTCTGGAAGCTGCAAGTCTGAGATCAGGGTGACAGCTTGGTCGGTTTCTTGGTGAGGGCCTTCTTCCTGGTGTGTCTTCGTGTGGCCTCCTTGGTGCATTTGTGCAAAGAGAGAGAGAGAGAGAGAGAGACCTAGGGTCTCTTGCTCTTTGTGTAACTAATGTTGTCATGGTGGCCCTATCCTCATGACTGCGTCTAATCCACACTACCTCCCAGAGGCCCCACCTCCAGACACCATCACACTGACCATTAGGGCTTCAACATAGGAATTTGGGGGTGGGGAGGACAGATATTCAGTCCCTAGCAGTATGTTTGTTAAAAGTAAGAAATTAACGTTGCTACGTCACTATTAACGAAACTACAGCCTTTATTTGGATTTCACCAGTCCTTCCATTAGTGTCCCTTTTCTGCTCTAGAATCCAGTCCTGGATTTCACATGGTATTTTGAGGTAATGTTTTTTTAATGCCTACATAGTTCTAGGCATGTTCGCTACATAATCTGTATACCATTGAGTTCCACATTTGTGTCTCCAGTCTGAGCCCTCATCCTAAGACTGTAGGAATGGTTTTGTGTATTGTACCAGCAGACCTACACTTGCCCTGTGTCTTAGCTTGGGCTACCATAACCAGATACCATAGACTAGGTGGCTTAAAGAGCAGATCATTTACTTTCTCATAGATCTGGAGGCTGGAAGTCAGATATCAGGGTGCAAGCATGGCTAGTTTCTGGTGAGGACCCTTTTCCCAGCTTGCAGATAGCTGTTTTCTTACTATGTTTGCACATGGCAGGGTGTGGGTGTAGGGAGAGGGAGAGCTAGCTCTCTGATGTCTCTTCTTATTACTAGGGTACTAATCTCATCGTGAGGGCCTCACCCTTGTGATTTTATCTAACCTAATTTCCTCCAAATACCATCACACTGGGGGTTAGGGCTTCAACATGATTTTGGGTACAATTAGTCCATAGCACCCTGTTTTATGAGGCATACTGTATTTCTCCCTTGCATCTCTAGGTCAGGAGCAACTGAATGTTTTGATTTAAAAGACATAACTTCTGTAGGTTGCTGTGGGAATAAGAATAGAGAAGTTGATTCACCTGGAAAACTGGATAACATTGAGCAGGGGAAAGCTAGTCTCATAGAATCAGAGACATTTAAAACTTTTTATTTGGAAAACATGTCTAGCTTGGAGAAGAGATATAATGAGCTAACCCTGCCTCCCCTTTCAGGGGGTTTGCATGATAATTTTTCTGCCCCGTTCCTCCTACCGCTGCTGGTGCATTTCCTTAGCATGAGGAGTTCTCCTGTGGGACCCAGGGCCAGGGTCAGATTCAGGAGATTGAACACAGTCTCAGTGCTTCCTCTGTCCTCTGCAGCCCAGATTCCATTTTTGCTGATTATCTCAGCAGAGTCCTCGATGACGTTTTTCCAGGATCCAGGATCCAGTTCAGGACCACACGTTGGACATAGTGGTCCCGTCCCTTTAGTCATATTTCATCTGGAACAGGTCCTTTCACAGAAAGAAGAAAGCCTGTCTTTGTCTTTCATGACATTGGTATTCTTGAAGAATACAGGCCAGTTACTTCATAGATTGTTCCTCAGTGTGGGTTTGTCTGGTGTTTCCTCATGAGTGTGTTTGGATTGTGTGTCCCAGATGGGAATGTTATAAAAGTGACATGTGCCTCTCAGGTCCCTTCCAGAGGCAGATGGTGTCCGTCTGCGCCAGGGCGATGCTGAGTTCTCCCCTGGTCAAGCTGCTGTCTGTTCTCTCCAGCATGTGCTCACTCTTTTTACCTGAGGGCTCATCTGTGGGGGACACGAGTCATAGGCTGTCACACTGCTCTTAGGGGTCCTGCGGTGGAGATGCTGGGTGGGGAGGGGAGTGTCCAGCCTGCCAGTTCTGTGGTGTTCAGAGATGTGCCATTTTAATCATTTGGTTTCCAAAAAAAATTTATTTCAAGTAAGGGCTTCCCTGCTCTTTGAACTTCTGTAGGACACGGGTGACGACTAAGGCACACAGCTGCCATCGTGATCTGTTCTGCCACTCCTGCCCGGACAAGTACTTTGAGTTCAGTCTAGCAGGCTTCTTATTACTCTTTACTAAACTGATGGATAGACCAAATTGTGGCTAGTCCTATGTTTGATCTGGAAAACAAACCATCTTTTCTATTTTCAGTTTAAATTAAATTTGTATCAGAGATTTCCAGTGCAGGATTTATAGTATTTGTAAGACTAATATTGTCCTGGGTTGGCTTTATAGGAGGACAAAGACACTGATTCCACCAAAGAACCTCTGGATGACCTCTTCCCAAATGACGATGACGACCCTGGTCAAGGAAGTAAGTTGGGAGTGGTGGTTAAATGGCAGCATGCAGATGGAGGTGGCGGGTCCTCTTGGGGTGTAATTGCTGTCATTAGCAGGAGGTGGCGTGCCTGCAGCCTGCCTCACAGGAGCCCTTGCACACTCAGGCTGCCTCGTGGCTCCCCAGAGAATTGTGAGTCGTTTTCTCGCTGGGATAGAGTAACGTGTTGAGCCAGCCCTCGTAAACGGGGGCATGCACCAGCAGTTCCGACGCGATCTGTGGATTCTCACAGAGTGAAAGGGCAAAGGAGTTTCCCTGGGGTCAAGAGCAGTCTCACCACACTGTTGGGGCGCGCGCGGCACCCCCGACAAGTTGCTGGTGTTGCATCGCCTGCGCGGGGAACGCTGGACAGGTTTGGTACAGTGGGGACCACGTGCTGACCTGGACCAGAGCCAGAGCAGGGAGTGCTAATCAGCTGGTGTCATCGGGTGATTTTCTCTATCGCCTGAAGTGAGCCCTTCTCTGTGTAGTGCAGCAGCAGCAGAGCAGTGCAGCGGCGGCCGCCCAGCAGGGTGGCTACGAGATCCCCGCGCGGCTGCGCACCCTGCACAACCTGGTCATCCAGTACGCCTCGCAGGGGCGCTACGAGGTCGCCGTGCCCCTCTGCAAGCAGGCCCTGGAGGACCTGGAGAAGACCTCTGGCCATGACCACCCTGACGTGGCCACCATGCTGAACATCTTGGCCTTGGTGTACAGGCTAGTAGTCCTCATTTTATTCTCTTAATTTTACCTAGAGACAACGTTTTTAATGAGCTTGTCCTAAAAATACATTTGTGTAAACTGTTATGAGCTACTTTTCCAGCCTTATCATCCATTTGTCTTCAGGCAGCCAGGGGTTAAGTTCAAACATTTAGCAAGCTCTCTGGCAAGAGTATGACCCTGAAGAATGGACGCCGTCCGGGACTAGCCCACAGCACCCTTCGCTCTGGCCAAGCTAAGCTCTCTTGATTTTTTTCCCCACAATACTTGGTATACCAGGCTCCTTCTGCCCACCCTGCCTGCCCGTATCCCCTGCCTTTCTGAGGCCTTGTCAGCTCTCTCTCCTTTCTGAATCCAGGGCTCCATGTGCCCCTTCCCAAGTTGTGCCCCATAACCCTGTCCCTGCCTCTCTCGCAGCACTTGCCCTGTACTTGGCCTCCGGGTGATTTGAATTTTGTCATCTCTTCTCCCGGGATCCTGGCTCCTTGAAGTTGAGGACCAGGTTGTCTTCTTGTCTCCACCTTGAGTCACTTGAACATGTTTGCTAACTCAGAAGCCTTCGGTGAACTTCCTGAATGGAATTAAATAGTTTGCCTAGGCACTGACTGGGCAGTGGTACGTGGGCGCCCTTTGTCTGCTTCTGTCTTTTAGCCGAACTGACCTGAAATCGAGCAGGTCGGGGTGTTACTCACATGCAGGACTGGTTTGCTGTGGCCACTCCAGTGTGGTGGGTTTCAGGGAACTGCTCCATTTTTCTTCATTGGTTTGGTTGTTTCAGTTTAGCCAACAGTTTTGATCCAGATGTATGTAAGACTTTGGGCTGGTTCCTGTGAGACCCTAAAGATGAATACATAATACCTGTTCTCAAGGAGAAACCAGAACGTGGAATTTGAAGTCAGGAGAGTTCAGTTTGTATCTCTGCTAAGTGGCCCCTAGACAGAGGATGTTGTCCAGAGCCCTTAGCTTTTCTGAGCCTCTGAAGGGTTGCAGGGGATGTGAGACATGGTGTTACCTGGCACTGTGAAATAGTCAAACAGCATCATCTAAACCTGTTTCTAAAGGAACTGAGAACCTTGTTTAGAGAATAGGCTGGCTATGTTCGTATGTAATTATAGAAGCAGGGAGACTGTTGTTAATAAAATAACACAGAAGTGGGAATTCCCTGGCGGTCCAGGAGTTAGGACTCTGTGCTTTCACTGCTGGGGCCCGGGTTCAATCCGTGGTTGGGGAACTATGATCCCATAAGTCGCTTGGTATGGCCAATAAAGAAAGAAAGTAACCCAGAAGTGTTCATGGAACAGAAAGATGCCTTCCAGCTGAGAGGATTAGGGAAGGCCTAATGGAGGGGTGCAGGCGCTTTCTGTGGCCTTGAAGGGTGTGTTTGGGGCAGACTCCTGCATCCTGTTTGGCAGTAGTAAGAGATGGGGCTGAAAGGGCTGGGCACTCTGCAGGTGCCAGGTCTTAGAAGAGTGGCTGTGGGGAGTGCACAGGACCTGAGGGGGCTGGAGCCTGGAGGCAGGGCAGCCTGGCAGGAGGCAGCAGCATGGGGCTGGCGGGGATGGAGCTGGGAACCTGAGCAGGGAGGGGGAAAGGAGGGGGAGGGCTCCATGAAGAGAAGAGGAGTAAACTGTCCGGAGAGGGAGGTGATGGCCTTAAAGAGCACCGGAAGGAAACGGAGCACTGCCATGCCACTGCTGCAGCTCCAGGCCACCGCCGTGGCTCGGCTTCGAGAGCAGCACAGCCTTTCCCATGCTGCATAGCACTCTGTTTTACAGGTAGCCCTGACATTTTTTGACAGATTTGCTGCTGATGGACATTTAGGTTTGCAGATTTTTACTGTTATGCATTATTGTAAGAATTCCGTAGTCACAGGTTGCATTTAAAATCTTGGTAGATTATGCTAAATTTCATTCCAGAAAGGTCTTTAAAAAATTTACGTGCCTACGAAGAACGTGAGAGTTTCTGGCTGATGGTAGATATTTTTATTGTAAATGAGTTAAATAAAAAATGTGCGTAGAATGCCACTGGAATTTGTTGTACTTAGGGTGCGTGGTCACACAGATGTCATTGTGCTGGGTGCTGGGAATTCGGTGGCCTCTCCTCAGTCTTGTGTTTTTCCTTCGCACAATAGTGTGAGAGTTTACTCATGTCAGCAGAACATTTGAAAAAAGTTAGCAGCTAACTTTAGGTAGCTGCTAAAGTTAGCAGAGCAACTAAGCCTGGGTGCCACAACTACTGAGCCTGCGCTCTAGAGTGCGTGAGCCGCAACTGTTGAGCCCACGTGCCACAACTACTGAAGCCCGCGCACCTAGAGCCCATGCACCGCAATGAAGAGTAGCCCCCGCTTGCCGCAACTAGTGAAAGCCTGCGCGCAGCAGTGAAGACCCAACACAGCCCAAAATAAATAAATTAAATAAATTAATTAAAAAAAATACCAAAACATGATACGCTTCTTGGTACATGTTGCCCAGCTGCTTTCAGGAAGGTGGTGCCAGTTCACACTCCTCCTCCTCCATCACCAGCCTGGGGCTGGGCTGCTTGTCTCTTGCTCTTTGTTAATGGAGAAGTGCAGCATTGTGTATTAATTTGTATTCTGTGATTGTGTGTTTTTAGTCATTTGTGTCCTTCTGTGAATGTTCTGTTACTTTTTTTTAATATATGTTTGTTTATTCATTTATTATTTGGCTGTGTTGGGTCTCCGTTGCTGCACGCGGGCTTTCTCGTTGCGGCGAGCAGGGGCTACTCTTCGTTGTGGTGTGTGGGCTTCTCATTGCAGTGGCTTCTCTTGTTGCGGAGCATGGGCTCTAGGCACGTGGGCTTCAGTAGCTATGGCACGCAGGCTCAGTAGTTGTGGCCCAGGGGCTTAGTTGCTCTGTGGCATGTGGGATCTTCCTGGACCAGGGCTCGAGCCCGTGTGCCCTGCATTGGCAGGCAGGTTCTTAACCACTGCGCCACCAGGGACGTCCAAAACCTATATACTTGGCCAGAATTAGTGTGCTTCGGAGGATCCGGAAGGCTTATTAGCCCTTCCAGTGTTCTGCAGGACAGTCTGGCTTCTGCAGGGCAAAGCCTTGCTGGGCAGCTGTTCTTACTCAGTTGGGAAGTATGTGTACTCAGTCTCACAAAGTAAGTAACTGGTTTGCAGCCCCGTCATCAGGTAGCACTTAAACCAAGGGGGCTGGGGCTGGAGGTGCTTCTTTCTCCCCACTGTCAGCAGGACCCTTCGCCCCGTCCTGCTCCAGCAGACACTGCAGGGTGCGTCCTGGGCTTCTGTTTCACAGGCTTTTCCATGGCACTGGCGAATCATTAGCTTCTTAGAGCAGCACTGTGAGTCACGTCCTTCCTTTTTAGGTGGGCCGACTGCGACTGTGGAGCCCATGTGACATGCCAGAGCCACGCAGCCGGTAGCTGGCAGAACTGGGTGCAGACACTGGGATCCGTTCCGTCTGCCTCACCGTTCTGGACGGCCTCGCTTACTGTGTGCGGGGTTATGGGGGTAGTATTGTCCCAGTGATCTAGATGGGAGGGCCAGGTTCAAAAGCTAATCAGGCCCGACTCCCTGCTCACCTTGCCAGTACGTTTATTGATGGAGTCTTTTTCTCCCACATTAGGAGTGTTTTTAATAGTTTTAATAGCTAACGTCTGTTTTTTAATAACTGAAGCTTAACTTCTATTTCTTTAGTTCCAAGATTACATTTTAAAGAGATGTAATAAGCTGTGTCTATAACACTTAACTGTATGTTTTTCAATTTAGAGACCAGAATAAATACAAAGATGCAGCTAACCTACTGAATGATGCCTTGGCCATCCGTGAAAAAACTTTGGGCAAAGACCATCCTGCGGTTTGTATACTGGTTCTTTCACTCTTTTTATATATTATTTTCCCTAATGTATTTTTATACCCATCTCATTTTAATATTAAACTCAACAGGGAAGATTTAAGAGCTGCCTTTTCACTGGACGGCACAGGTAGGACTTCCCTCACTTAGTACAAGTGATGAGCTTCAGTGCTGGTGACTCCCATTTAGCAGGTGTCAGTGTGCACTTAAGTTGTTTATCACCCCACCTCAAATGGATCACGTACTGTGTTTTTTGATCCTAAATCAAATTGCATGTACTTCTGTAAATTTTTTCATAAAGATTTTGTATTGTCTTTTTATTAAAATCTGGTCAGGTTTGCGTATAGATCTATTTTGGTTGGCTTTGTGGCTTTCAGTGAAATTAAAAAAATCAAGATCCTGTTGATGTTGATTTGTTAACTTTAATATTCTGCAGTGTTACTTTATGCGTCTGTCTGTAGACAGTGAGATTGCTCTTTTGCCTCTAAGTGGAGTCTTGTTCCTTCATCCAGCTGAGGGCTCTTCCCTGCACATACTGGGCGTGATGAGTGTGTGATGTCTCACATCCCCTCCACTGCTGTCGTTTACTGTTCTTCACGGTTCCCTGTGTTGGTAGGTGGCAGCAACTCTGAATAACCTCGCAGTGCTTTACGGCAAAAGAGGAAAGTACAAAGAAGCTGAGCCGCTGTGTAAAAGAGCTCTGGAGATCAGAGAAAAGGTGCGACTGAGGACGGTTCTCCTTGAGATGCTATGTTTTATGCTTTTAAATAACTCACTTTTTTTTTTTTTTTAATAACTCACTTTTAAGCTTTGAGATAGGACCACTGTGATATATCATTACTGACCATTTACTGAAAATAAGCCCTTCAGTCAGGTGGGCAGCCCCAAACGCAGCCAGATGGGCCCATACACATGGGAGTTTAGGAGGAGTGGGTATGCAGAGGGTGGAGCCTTGAGTCTGCATGCCCTCCCAGCCTGAGGCCTAGAAATGATTCAACTGAAGAAGGAATTTCTCAGGCCTGTAGGTGGAAGGCTTGGGGGCATTTCACTGATGGTGGGGCATGTGCCTGTCAAGAAGAAAAACATTAAAATTTTAAAAATGAGGTCAACAAATATGCTTATGAAACTGAAGAAAATGAATAATTGTTTTTGAGAACTAAAGAATAACTCAGAGCTGTAGATTAAGTCAATGTCATGGATATGTAATATCAGCTAATACAGTTTATAGTAATTAGGTATTTTTTTAATGTAACTTGTTAATTTCAGCAGTGCTCTGGATGACCGTGTATTCAAATGTTAGAGACTTGGCAGGTCCATGCCATGACTTTTTTTTTTTAAAGGTTATTTTATGACATATAGGTTTGTTTGTTTCTTTATTTGTTTGTTTTTGGCTGTTAGGTCTTGTTGCTGCGTGTGGGCTTTCTCTAGTTGCGGCGAGCAGGGGCTACTCTTCATTGCGGTGTGCAGGCTTCTCGTTGCGGTGGCTTCTCTTGTTGCGGAGCACAGGCTGTTGGCGCGCGGGCTTTAGTAGTTACAGCATGTGGGCTCAGTAGCTGTGGCTAGTGGGCTGTAGAGCGCAGGCTCAGTAGTTGTGGTGCACGGACTTAGTTGCTCTGTGGCATGTGAGATCTTCCCGGACCAGGGATCGAACCCGTGTCCCCTGCATTGGCAGGCGGATTCCCAACCACTGTGCCACCAGGGAAGTCCAATGCCATGACATTTTAATTTGACTTTTTGTGTCATTATTTACCATTGATACTGAACAATCAATCATTTAATTTTGAGTCATATGGCAAGGACTTGGGGAAGGGAAGATGAAAAGGGGCTAATTATCACATTATGCAGGTAAAGTTTTGTCCATGTTGCCATCTGCATAATATTTGCAAAATAAAATAGTTTTTATTTATTTTATTTTATTTTTATTTTTATTTATTTATTTATGTTTTTTGCGGTACACGGGCCTCTCACTGCTGTGGCCTCTTTCGCTGCGGAGCACAGGCTCCAGATGCACAGGCCCAGTCGCTCCGCGGCATGCGGGATCCTCCCGGACCGGGGCACAAACCCGTGTCCCCTGCATCGGCAGGCGGACTCCCAACCACTGCGCCACCAGGGAAGCCCTAAAATAGTTTTTATTTTATTTTTTATTTATCCACTGAGATTTTGAGTGGGCTGGGGTTAAAATCAGGGAGAATCACAAATGTATCAAATTGAGGATTATGAACTGTAGGTGATTATCTGTCAGATTCATTCCTATATATTTGCTCTTTTGTTCAGTCACGTAGCAGACATTTATTGAGGACTTGGGGGCTCCCTGCTTGGTTAGAGTTGGTGATTTCAAATTAGACACAGTCCTTTCCCTGGGGACACAGTGCAGCGAGCAGACCTTGGGAATGCAGGTGCTTTGGCTTCTAGCCTAGAGCTCAGGGAGCACATAGAGCAAGGGCTTCTCCAGGTACAGGGCTGGGACTGTGCTGGGCATGGCCTCCCACAAACGGCCAGCGTTGGAGCTGAGTCTCAAGAACCGAGGTCAGAGCTTCCCAGGCAGGGAGAGGAAGGGAATGCAGAGGGGATGGAGAGGCAGCCTGCCTCATTGGGGACTGTGTAGGTAAAGGCACAAGGTGAGAGACTGGATGGCTGGCTCAGGTCCTGAGGAAGCAGTGTAGTGTTTGGTCGTCCATCTGTGTGCCAGCACCGTCCTAGGTGCTGAGAGGATGTTACATCCAGACCTTGAGACAAGGCATTTGCACACTGAGGCTTACATCTTAGCGGGTGAGAGTCAGGCGATAAAGGACTAAATAGATAAATAAGATAGTTTTGAGTAGTGATACTTGCAAAGAAAGAAAAAAAACCAGGTGATGTGCTTGTGAGTAAACTGGGTGGGGATGGGCTGAGGGCTCCCTTAAATTGGATATAAGGAGGTCCTCTCTGAGGGGACCTGAAGAGAGACCTGAAAGATGAGTTATTTAGTGGAGGGTGGGGAGCAGGGCAGTGCTGGGAGAAGAGTGTTGGGCGTCTGGGACAGTGAGTTCAAGCTCGAAGAGCCCTGAGGTGGAGTTTGAAATGTGAGGGAAGTGGTTTGGGATGCGCAGAGAATCTGGGTCTGACTGTGAAGGGATACATAGGATGTGAATTGAAGAATTGGAAGTTTCCTTTGAAGGCTGTTCTGTGCAGGAATAAGTGTAATGTAGTTAGACTCAGAAGGGCCAGGTGTAAGTTCAGGCACTTCAAGGACTGGGCGGCCACATTAAGCAGCCTTTATCAAACCCAGTTTCCTCATCTTCAAACTGTGCATAGTATTACCTACCATGTAGGATTATTATAAGAATTAAAGACACTAAAGCATGTGAAGGAAATCAGCATAGTCCCCTCCCCCCAAGAATAAGGAGTTAAACAAATTCTGGTTAAGTTATTTTTATTATTGCATGGGGAGCCATTTAAACATCATAAGCCTGGAAGCAAGGCACAGTCGTATTTATGTTTAGAACGTGCCTTCTCACGATAGGGTGGAGAATGGATCGGATGGTACCATGTGAAACAAATAATAAGTGTTTCTAATACACTATTTTTTATTCCCAGGTTTTGGGAAAGGATCACCCCGATGTTGCCAAGCAGTTAAATAACTTGGCCTTACTGTGCCAGAACCAGGGCAAGTACGAAGAAGTAGAATATTATTATCAAAGAGCCCTCGAGATCTACCAAACAAAACTGGGGCCTGATGACCCCAATGTGGCCAAAACGAAAAATAACCTGGTACGTTGACAGAGGTATAACTCTATAGGTAGAGCCAGATTACTTTCTTCCTGAAATCTGAACTCTGTTTCGTAGTTTAACCTATAAATAAGAACATATGCTTCACTTACGTATGAAGAATAGTAATTACTTTGTTTTATTTTAAGGCATCCTGCTATCTGAAGCAAGGAAAATTCAAGCAAGCAGAAACACTGTACAAAGAGATTCTCACTCGCGCACATGAAAGGGAATTTGGTTCTGTAGATGGTAAGAAATATACTTTTGTTTCTAAGCAGATGCAGTTGTAGGATGCGTTAAACATAGTGATTTCCATGAAGCAAAAGGATTAAAAAAAAATAGTGATTTCCAGCTTGAACTTGGTAATACCCAAGTCATCACAGTATTTTCAAGATAGAATTTAATTTGAATTTTAGAAATGATTTTCCATGGAGCGCTTATTGGAGAGGATGTGACCCGGTCTGAGTGAGTGCCCATCGGCTCATCATTCATCATCCAACGACCGTGGTGAACCCTGCGTACCTGCCCTGGCATTACCGATAATGGAGTCATGCAGCCTGTGGTCAGGGTGATGGGCCATGCTACCCTCACCGGAGTCCACATGTGCTTTAGGCACAACCTAGATGCACTGACTCCAGAAAGCCTTCCTGGAGTCATTAATGCTTTCTAGAATTGCTCTGTAATACAGTGGTTCTCAGAGTGCCGGCAGGAACCAGCAATTTCAGCACCACCTGGGACCTGTCAGAAATGCAGATCCTCGACCCATCCCAGGCCTGCTGGGTTGGAGCTAAGGCCTGTCTCCTTTGTATCCCTTAAAGTATTGTAGGTGCTTAATATTAATATTTTATAAGATTTTAATTGCTCAGTAAAACCATATTTGTGTGTTACATAAGGTATCTTCCCCCCTTTACTGCCTATTACATAAGGATTTCAGAATGTGAACAGCTGTTACTAGTGTGTGGGAAACCTTAGAATTTGTGGGGAAAAAGGTTTTGATTAATAAATATTTTCTTCTATAGAGAGTTTCTAGAAACTACTTTTGAAAAATCTTTGAAAAGTGTATTAGTTTTTCTCTGTTAACAAGTGGAGCAGTAAATCTCTTGCTATCAGAAGATCGTAATGCCTCAGGCTCATCATTTTGAAAATGGATTCTGTTTGCAGTTGTGCCGGGATTGGATAACAGCCCACCTCCCTGGACTTGTACAGTTCACAGGGCACTTTCATGTCCTCGTCTAACTGTAGAGGCCTTGCTGGTTTTGTGTTGATTCCAGGCCATCTCCTTAGTGCTTCTTTCAAAAAATTTTACTCTTGGGGACGACTTGTTTCCTTGCGATTTGCTAGCTTATTTCTACTAAAAATAGTAGCATGAAGTCCAGTTAATTGGGTTCTAGTTAAAAGCAGTTTTTCTGTACTCAGATTTATCCTCCACACAAATGTTAAAACTTAGGACAGAAAGGCATTTTTTCTTTAGGCAAGATGCACATGTGTCCTGGTTTGCTGTCGGGGCGTGGCTTTCAGGTCACAGGGCCTTCTTGGCTACAGTGCAGCATTGAAACCCATGACCTGGTTTGTTGTCAGGAAATCTAGTTCTCTTAACTGGTGGATTCTTGTCTGTTCTAACAATAGGGTTAGGTTAGTACATAAAGCTAAAACTGCAGTAAATAACAGTGTTATTAAGCTTTAAATACTGTTCACTTTTTTTTTTTTTAATAATTGTGATATACAATTATTTTTCAAGTAGTTAAGCAATTGTACGAGCACCACTAACTGAATAATCCTTCCATCCCCCCCGCTCATTCGTAAGGTCATATTCTAAATTCTTTATCAAGGTAGGGGTTTTGTTGCTGGTGGTAGTGGTAGTGGTAATGGTGGCGGTTGTTTTTCTGCTGGACCATTCCTCTCCATTTATGCAGGTATTGATTCCTATACCAGTTGCACATCTTCTTGGCTGCTGTGGTTTGCAGTGAGGCGGGGTGGGGGTGAAGTTAGATATGTGATGTGACAAAGTCTGTAAGTACTCTTCCTTTTCAAAACTTCCTGGCTAGTCTCACCATTGTTTTTTTCTTTTAATTGAAGTATAGTTGATTTACAATGTTGTTAATTACTCCTGTACAGCAAAGTGATTCAGTTATATATGTACATTCTTTTTTTTCTATATTCTTTATGGTTTATTCTATATGGCATTTCTATATTCTTTATGGTTTATTCTATATGGCATTATGGTTTATCATAGGATACCTAGTATAGTTCCCTGTGCTGTACAGGAGGCCCTTGTTGTTTATTCATTCTGTATATAATAGCTTGCGTCTGCTAACCCCAAACTCCCACTCCACTCCTCCCCCACCCCTCTTCCCTTTGGCAACCACCAGTCTGTTCTCTATGTCTGTGAGTCTGTTTCTGTTTCATAGATAGGTTCCTTTGAGTCATATTTTAGATTCCACATATGAGTGGTATCACATGGTATTTGTCTTTTTCTGACTTACTTCACTTAGTATGGTAAGCCCTAGTTGCATCCATGTTGCTGCAGATGGCATTATTTCGTTCTTTTTTTATGGCTGAGTAGTATTCCATTGTATATATGTACCACATCTTCTTTATCCATTCATCTGTCGATGGACATTTAGGTTGTTTCCATGTCTTGGCTATTGTGAATAGTGCTGCTGTGAACATAGGGGTGCATTGTATCTTTTTGAATTACAGTTTTGTCTGGATATATGCCCAGGAGTGGGATCGCTGGATCATACGGTAATTCTATTTTCAGTTTTCTGAGGAACCTCCATACTGTTTTCTATAGTGGCTGCACCAATTTACATTCCCACCAACAGTGTAGGAGGGTCCCTTTTTCTATACCTTCTCCAGCATTTGTTATTTGTAGACTTTTTAATGATGGCCATTCTGACTGATGTAAGGTGATAACTTCATTGTAGTTTTGATTTGCATTTCTGTAATAATTAGTTATGTTGAGCATCTTTTCTTGTGACTGTTAGCCATCTGTATGTCTTCTTTGGAGAAATGTCTATATAGGTCTTCTACCTTTTTTTTTTTTTTTTTTTTTTTTTGCGGTACGTGGGCCTCTCGTTGCTGTGGCCTCTCCCGCTGCGGAGCACAGGCTCCGAATGCACGGGCCCAGTGTCCACGGCTCACGGGCCCAGCTGCTCTGCGGCATGTGGGATCCTCCCGGACTGGGGCACAAACCCGTGTCCCCCGCATCGGCAGGCGGACTCTCAACCACTGCGCCACCAGGGAAGCCCCCTTCTGCCCATTTTTTGATTGGGTGGTTTGTTTTGTTGTTGTTGAGTTGTGGGAGCTGTTTGTATATTTTGGAAATTAAGCCCTTGTCAGTTGCATCATTTGCAAATATTTTCTCCCATTCGGTAAGTTGTCTTTTCATTTTGTTTGTGGTTTCCTTTGCTATACATATATTCACTCTTTTAAAACCAGTATTTAAAACTAGTTTCAGTCTTCTCCTATGACATGCCCAATAATCCTAAGAATAGTTAACCACATACTAGTCTTTTAGTTAAAAACAGTTTAAATATATAATCTGACTTAATTTTCTCAGCAGTCCTGTGAAGTGGGTCACACGTTACTCCATTTTAGGAGCGAGGATACTGCAGGCTAAGCGACTCGCCCAGGATGGGTAGCTCATGAGTGGTTGGATTGGGTGGGAGCACAGGTCTTATTCTCCAGAAACCTCAAAAGTAAGTGAAGAGACGGGATCATGAAAATCACCTATAATTTCATCACCCAAATATGTCTTAATTTTGTGTGTCTTCCCTTCCTTTTTTTGCCAATTGATTTGCATAATTGAAACCACACTTTATATATAATCATGTATACTGCTTATTTTCCTTTATACTTGTAGCTTAAGCATTTTTCATGTCATAAAAGTATTTTCATAACCTTCACTTTTAAAAAATATTTATTTATTTATTTGTTTTTATTTTTGGCTGCGTTGGGTCTTCTTTGCTGTGCTTGGGCTTTCTCTGGTTGCGGTGAGCGGGGGCTACTCTTTGTTGCAGTGTGCAGGCTTCTCATTGTCGTGGCTTCTCTTGTTGCGGAGCACAGGCTCTAGGTGCGCGGGCTTCAGTAGTTGTGGCACACGGGCTCAGCAGTTGTGGCTCACGGGCTCTAGAGCGCAACCTCAGTAGTTGTGGCACACGGGCTTAGTTGCTCCGCAGCGTGTGGGATCTTACCGGGCCAGGGCTCAAACCCGTGCCCCTTGCACTGGCAGGCAGATTCTTAACTACTGTGCCACCAGGAAAGCCCATAACCTTCACTTTTAAGACTGCTTATCCTCCATGATGTGGGTGCATTAGTTGGAAGCTTTGGATGAGTGGTATGTGTCAGTGTTCTCAAAAGTGAAGAAAATTTTAAAGGAATATTGATTTGTAGTTTTTCCATTTTTGCTCCCAACATCTTACTACTATTTCTTAGACTTTTGTTTAATGTTAGTTGTTCAAATTCTAAATAGTCCCAAGTGTTACGTGAGGGTTCTAGCATTAAAAATTTCCTTATAGGGACCCTAGCATTTGTCCGTGTTTTTGATTGTTGCCTACCCTGTCTAGGTAGGTACCTTTGATTCCATGTCTTCTGTTCACAGAGCTGCATGTGAATGGCCATTTCCTACTGGTTTCTTGTGGTCTGGTTCTGTCTTCGTAGTCTTTATTCTCCATTGTGAAACCTTGTCTGTCCATGATGTGAAAAGTAATATCTGAGAAGGATCATACGGAAAACAAAACAGAAACCTTGCAGTTGCTGAAACTTGACAAATTCCACTTTGTGGGCTGTTATGCTTCAGTTTATAGTATGTTATTTTTTCTTCCCTAGATGAAAATAAACCCATTTGGATGCATGCTGAGGAAAGAGAAGAATGCAAAGTAAGGACATACTATTTCGAGAGATTCTAAATTGAATATATTACTTACGATAATTACTCACTTGAAATTATTTGCTATAATTTAGGGAAAGCAAAAGGATGGGACTTCTTTTGGAGAGTATGGTGGCTGGTACAAAGCCTGCAAAGTTGACAGGTACGTCTGCTTAACTGAAAAACAAAGACACAGCTGTGGAAGGTGCTAATGCTTCAAAGGTAGCTTGTAAATGACCGAGTGTGTAAGTTCCTTAAAGTGGTGTGGTTGCACAGTCCCTGATTTTCCACAAATTCCAATACAAACTCCATAACTTTGTAAATGAGGTAATTCATGTACACAAAACCCACCATAATATGGGTCACGTGGGTAAAATATTGGTTCTGTCCATTAACGCTGTGTCTAAGGCTAAGTACCAAATCGCAGGAGAAGAGATGACTAAATATAGAGACACAACATTTAAGGTGGCCATAGAGCAAACTCACGGGAAACAGGCCAGCAGACGTGCAAAAGCCAGCACTTTGCAGGTGTGTCCAGGTGCACACCCCAGTCTCTCCCGCAGCCCTGAGGGCCTCCGTGTCTGCGGAGGGTTGTGTGAGCTCCTTCAGCAGCAGCCTGTGAGCCTGTGCAGATGCCCGTTTCCTCTTCTGACTGCAACACCTTTCCTGCAGTCTTTTTCCTATTTTAACTTTTGCTCACCCTTTAAGACTTAGTTTACCAGTCTTCTATTTCAGAAAAACTCTCTGAACCCCTAGCTTGGAACAAGTACTCATTCTTTGGGTTCCCCGTAGCACTTAGCCATAACTTCTGAATTGCATGTGCTTTGTTTCTCCCAATACTCTGTAAATTGTCTCAAAGACATGGAGTATAGCTCTTTATTTCTAAAGCGCCTATCATCAGTAAGAAAAAAATCTCTTGAAGTATATCTATACTAAAATGAACTAGATTTATTTCTCGTTTCTTAGTAAGAGTGCTCTGTGAGGAGTGCAGAAGCACTGTCTGTGTCCACACTGTTTGTTCATCCTTTTGCGCACACAGCCGTCATTCTCATTGGTGATGAGTTTTGGATTCACTCTACTTGTAGAGGGAGAGGAGAAGGTAGAGAGCAGCATTAAAACATGTGTCCTCTTTACTACCTGGCACAGTCAGCTCTGCCCCCGAGAGGGGAGAAGCCTGATGGTCACTGGACAGACCCAGAATAGACGTTTCTGTTGAGACTGCCCGGTGGTCTGTGGGAGCAGCCACAGACTGGAAAGAATACAGGGGCATGTCCCGTCAGCCACAGGGCTCAGTGCATTAGGCAGGGGATGCTCAACATAGAAGAGCCTTTTAGAGTTTTACAGTTAAAAAAAAAGTACCATAGAAATTTAAATAATTTTAGCCAAACATAAGTCTGTTTGTCCTTTAGATTATGTGCTGTTGATAGTGGTTGTTCTAAAACTTATATTTTATAGTTCTGTATATCATATGCTTTCTTAACAGTCCAACTGTTACAACTACTTTAAAAAACCTTGGGGCACTTTACAGACGTCAAGGCAAATTTGAAGCTGCAGAAACATTGGAAGAAGCAGCCATGAGGTCACGTAAACAGGTCAGTCAAAAACCGTCTGTTTTGGGGGCTTCCCTGGTGGCGCAGTGGTTGAGAGTCCGCCTGCCGATGCGGGGGACACGGGTTCGTGCCCCGGTCCGGGAAGATCCCACATGCCGCGGAGCGGCTGGGCCCGTGAGCCATGGCCGCTGAGCCTGCGCGTCCGGAGCCAGTGCTCCGCAACGGGAGAGGCCACGACAGTGAGAGGCCCGCGCACCGCAAAAAAAAAAAAACCTTCTGTTTTTAACTTAGCCTTCCGTTTTTAACTTTGAGTTTAATGATTCTCTTTTACGAGACTTACTGAAACCTTGATTTAGAAATAGAAAATGTTTACTGTTTTAGTTTGTACAAATAAAATTATATTGTTCAAGTGACAATATAATGTAAATATATGGTAAATATGACACCAAAAGCACGAGCAACAAAAGCAAAAGTCAGTCAGATTCACCAAAATTAGAAACATTTGTGCATTCAAGGACACTATCAAGAAAATGAAAAGACTCACAGAATGGGTGGACATATTTGCAAATCACATCTCTGAGGAGGTCTAGTGTCCAGAATGTATAAAGACAAAAGGACCACCGAATTAAAAAATGAGCACAGGACCTGAGTAGACATTTCTCTGAAGATGCTACACAACTGCCAACAAGCACATGGAAGGTTGCTCAACGTCATGAGTCATCAGGGGAATGCAAATGAAAACCACAGTGAGGCACCACCACACACCCACTGGGATGGCTAGAATTCAAAACCAAAACAGAAATAGCAAGTGTCGAGGAGGAGGTGTAGAGACTGGAACCCTTGAGCACTGCTGGTGGGGACGCAGAGTGGTGCAGCTTCTGTAGAGAACAGTTTGGAAGTTCATCCGAAAGAGAAGCATAGAGTTCCTATCTGACCCTGCAAGTCCACTCCTAGGTATATACACTGGAGAGAATGGAACACAGGTACTCAAAACAAATGCAGCCAATTCTCGTTATTCATGGTACTTATGTTCTATAAAGTTGCTTTGAACACTGAATTAGCAAATACTGAACCATTGTTCCTAGGGAGATACAGAGTTATGTTCCTGGGAGCCTCTGGTCACATTTACTTCAACCGATCAATACATAACCTTGTTTTAGGTGTGTTTCTGTTTAAAGACACCCTTATTTAGTATATGTTGTTGATTCATTAGCATCGAATTCATGGCCAGCAGCACTGTAACTTGTGCCTGAAGAGAGCTTATCTTTCTCCATAAGGCACACCCCAGCCTTCTTGCACTTAGGAACACCAGAGGACACTTTAGCACCGCTCTCGGGGGCTGTTTTAAACAGTGAAATCACTGACCGAAATGCGGAAAACATGGCACCAGATGATTTAGACTTGGGGAGGGAGGATGCTTGTTTACATTATAAGGTGAAACAAGAAAGCAGAGTGTCACCTTGTTCGATCTTAGCTGGGGATGTGCGTGTCGGGTGACTCGAAGTTTTCTCCACTTTGTCTGTCTGTGAATGACCATGAAAGCACTGCGAGTGTTGATTTTAGGATTACAAATACGTTTTGGCCAGTAGGTGAATTAGCAAATATGGCCTCCGTAAGTGATGAGGGTTGACTGCTCTTGTGCATATACGTTCGTGGCAGCGTTACTCTCAGTAGGCTGAACGAACACACAGACACAGGTTCGTCGGTGGACGAATGGATACACGAGGTGGTATATTCATGCGATGGAATGCTATTTGGCAATAAGAAGGACTACTGAAGCACTTTGCTTCATCAACTGAGGTATTTTAGTTATGCTGAAATACAGTTGTAAAGAACATACAGGAAAAAGGCTTAGTTCTTGCCCCTTAATTACCAGTTTTAGAGTAAGGAGTTAATGTATTACTGTGTATGTGTATGCATATAAAGATGGCAGATTTTGTTTTCTATTTTTAGGGCTGGAGGGACAGGTGTGGCTTTTTCGCCTGAATGGTGTGTGTGTAGCCTATTATGCAGTTGTTGGTTTAGAGCCACCTTTTGGCTGGGATTAAAGTTACCCATAGGTACCTTAGAATTTTTTCCTTCAAGAGATTCTGGGCAGAGGGATTAGAGAAGGCCCAGCATAGGTGTTGTCAGTGGTGCTCTCCTAGCTTGTGCCCTGCAGGAGCCCCTTTGTTGAGTCCTGTTGTCCTTCCCAGGTCTTTTGACTCTGAAGGGCTACTGTTCAGGGGAGGGCGCCCTGGGTGTAGGCGGCGTGGGATTCTGGCTCGACTGGTGGTCCGTGGTGCTCCTTCATCACCAGGCTTTTCTGTAAACCAGTGCCAGATAGTGTTTATCCAGCCAGTGGTGTCTAGAGTCAGGAGCTGCAGATGTTTAGAGAAAGGGATGTTGCTAGTGGTTTGTTGAGAACAGCCCCTCCTGCGCCTGGGAGGGCCATGGTCTGCTTCACTGTGGAGGTCACCGCAGCACATGGTCTGTTTGGGTATTGTGCCCCCCTGAGGAGGAAACCCTCAGGGTCAGCGAAGGGGCAGTATTTGCATGAGCTGTTCGGGTTGAGATTCCATTTAGAACGTAAGACATGCTGCACCTGGTCATCAGATGGTGCTGAAATGCACATGGAGAACGTTTGCTGCTGGGTGTTAATCCAGTTATGTTTTCACTCAGATGTGCGTGGGGTGATCGTTGAGAAAGTAGGCGAGTGCTTGCCGCTGCTTATCGCTCTGTAGAGTAGGAAAGTTTGCTGTTAAAATGCCTTTTGTTAAATTAGTGGCTATTTTTTTTGTGTGTGTGTGGTACACGGGCCTCTCACTGTCTTGGCCTCTCCCGTTGCGGAGCACAGGCTCTGGACGCGCAGGCTGAGCGGCCATGGCTCACGGGCCCAGCCGCTCTGCGGCATGTGGGATCTTCCCGGACCGGGGCACGAACCCGTGTCCCCTGCATAGGCAGGCGGACTCTCAACCACTGCGTCACCAGGGAAGCCCTAGTGGCTAATTTTTAAAAATGTTATACTGAGAACAAAGTAATCCGTGAGTTTTCAACCATGTACTTATTTTGGAGGCATGGAACACCAGGCACTTAATGTTAAAGTGTCAAAAACTGGGCAGTTTCCCAGCGTCTCACCATGAAACTTCCAAACATAAAGTTGAGAGGATTTTATACCCGTGTACCGCCTCCTAGATTCAGCCACGAGCATCTCTCCCATCTATCCATCCTTCAGTCCTTTTTTTTTTCTGATGCCTTTCAAAGTTGTATACCTCAGTACACTTCCTTTTAAATACTTCAGCGTGCACATCATAACCTGGAGCTCAGTGTTTATAATTTTTTAACATTTGAGGTAAAATTTACATATGGTGAAATGCACAACTGTTAAGTGTACATTCCTGAGAATCACTGTTCTGATTTTTCCCTCCACGTTTAAGAACTTTTTTTCCCCTAATATACATTTAGTTATCTTAGAAAATCCCAATAAAACTTAAGTGCTGATGGATCACACCCTTTTCCCCCTGCCTGGCTCGCAGGGTCTTGACAATGCTCACAAACAGAGAGTAGCTGAAGTGCTGAATGACCCTGAGAACATGGAGAAGCGGAGAAGCCGTGAGAGCCTCAGCGTGGATGTGGTCAAGTACGAGAGTGGCCCTGACGGAGGGGAGGAAGTGAGTATGAGCGTAGAGTGGAACGGGGTAAGTACAGTACACAGCGCGTGCTCAGCCCGTGCTGCGAGGCCCCGGGCAGCAGCCTGGGCCGTCTCCCACTGGGAGTGCTTTTTGGCATCTCCTGGCTTAACTGCTAGACAGCCTACTTTTCTCAAATTAAGTACAAATTAAGCTTTTTGTAAGTTCTTCTGCTAACACTGAAGTCTGTTATTTGTTTGAAGTAGTGATTTTCTTCTTCTTAGGAATCCATGAAAGCTGTTTGGCTTAACTTTGAGCACTTAAATGCTGATTGAGTGTCCTGGTTTTTAAAGCATAATCCATAATTTGATTTTATTTTAATATTAGGATTAGTGTGGCAGATGACTAACTCGCTTTTTTAACTTACCCATTTTCATTGCTAACTTCAGTGCTCCTAATTTCACTGACGAGGCCGCTGTAGATTTTGTTAGAATTAATTTAAATAACTTCCAAGGAAAAGGGTGATTCAAGCAGAACTCTTCTGTAGAAGAGAACAGGTCAGAAGCGAGAATGTTAGGGCGGCTGTTCTTCACGTCCCAGCTCAGTCCACGGAGGGCCCAGCGGCTCACTGCTTTCCATGTTTACCTGCCGGAGGCTTTTGCGTCCCGAGCATGTGCCTCTACTAGAAACATGTCACCTCTGTGGCCAGGCTCTGCCTCTGCCTCTGTGGAAATTCTTACCACTGCTGTTTCTCCAGTATTGCCTTTTGGACATTTTCTTTCTAGTGAATTTTTGTAACACGTGGGTAATTTTTTTGTACATTGAGCTGGTGTCTTTGGAATTTTGCTTTTATGGGGGAGGGTTGAGTGCAGGATTAGGTTTAATGCATTCAGTTGCAGTGTTGATTTTTTTGAAGTCACGTAATGCAATTTGATTAATTGTAATTGTGCAGATGTTTTTCCAAATGGTAGTTTGGGGCTTTCTTATAGTCTATCTTTTTGAGTCTATTTATTCTTTGGTCAGGGTCAGCACTCTAGTTGACATTTTATACAGAATGTTCTTGGTCAAGGTTTAAGGGAGAGCATCTCTTTCGACTGTCTTTACCTGGCAGCTCCCTTGCTTTGGTTTCCCTGTGCCAAGACAACCAATCAGCATCTGCTTTGACCACTCACCCTGTCGGGCAGTCGCCCAAAGTGAAATGAGGGCGGCACTGCCCTACTCGTGTCCGTGTCCAGCCCGCACTGTGTACTGTACTCTCCCCATGGTGGCTGTTGTCTGCGTGCTTTGTGTAGAGGGCCCCTCCTTTCGCTGGTCTTCAGGAGCCAGGGGGCAGGGTTTGATCCTTTAGAATGAGGTTCTGGAGGAGCTTTCTCTTGAGACAGTATTTCTAGGTCAATCTTTCTATGAAATCACGTGAAAATAAAATTATTGACATCTCAGAGTTCTATTACTGTCTTCAAGACTGAGACTCGGGGGTGAGGGAGAGCTGCTTTCATTCCTCTGTGGAGGGGCGGGCAGGCGGGAGTCACGGTGCGGTGAGCAGAGCTGGGGACCCCCTCCCCCCGTTCCTGCTCTCTGCCCTTCACCTCACATTTCCTCTCTCACTGTGGACATGCTGTCACTCAGGACACACACACACACGCTGGGTGCTGGATACCTTTTTACTTGACTTTTAGATACTAGCGACTCTGCATCTTTGACAGAATCCACCCCAGGGCGCTTCACCTGGGCTGGATCCAGTTGACTGAAAGAATCTAGATTGCAGGTCATTCAGTGCAGCGGTTCCTAAACTCACTTTGAGCAGCAGAAGGAACCCTCGCAGAAGGAACCCTCCCTTCAGATGGGGTCTTATATGAAGCAGTGAGTAAATAGAGAACTGCTAGGGTTAACCAGGGAGGGACAGTCGAGAGCTGGCGCCTGAGGCCACCACTCAGACCAGCACCGCCCTCAAATGGGAGGCCTTGGCTCTCAGACTGGTTTCCTTTGGGAGCTCTGAGGCTCTGAGAAGTTAGTGCTGCTCTCCCAACACTTGACTTGAGTTTTATTTTCAAAGCATGCATTTATGTTTTAAAAAGAGGCAGGAAAGGCAGTATGCACCCTTAGGTGGTGTTTGGTTTTTTTAACATCTTTTTTGGAGTATAATTGCTTTACAATGTTGTGTTAGTTTTTGCTGTATAACAAAGTGAGTCAGCTCTACATATACACATATCTCGTATCTCCTCCCTCGTCTCTGTCCCACCCTCCCTATCCCACCCCTCTAGGTGGTCACAGAGCACTGAGCTGATCTCCCTGTGCTATGCGGCTGCTTCCCACTAGCTATCTGTTTTACATTTGGTTGTGTATATATGTCCATGCAACTCCCTCACTTAGTCCCAGCTTACCCTTCCCCCTACCCGTGTCCTGAAGCCCATTCTCTACGACTGCATCTTTATTCCTGTCCTGCCCCTAGGTTCATCAGAACCTTTTTTTTTTTTTAGATTCCATATATATGCATTAGCATACAGTATTTGTTTTTCTCTTTCTGACTTACTTCACTCTGTATGGCAGGCTCTGGGTCCATCCACCTCACTACAAATAACTCAATTTCGTTTCTTTTTCTGGCTGAGTAATATTCCATTGTATGTATGTGCCACATCTTCTTTATCCATTCGTCTATCCATTCGTGCTCTTTAGATTCAGCTTTATTGAGGTATAATTGCTTGCAACCAGAGGAGCCCATTTTAAGCTCACCTTGGTTTAGAGGCTCACACACTGCTGTGCTCACACACTGCTGTCCTCACATTCTCTCTGTCCAGGTGTGAGGATAAAATGTTTAATGCTGTCTCTGCATGAGTGCACATTTCCCTGGGATTACAGGGCAAGCAGATTAAGCATTGTTGCTATTTGCAGCCACTTTCCTGTGTGCAACAAGATTTTCTCTGTTATGCAGTCAAGATAAAAGATAAAAATAAATTGGGAGTTGAGGTGGGCACTGAGGCTGGACCTGTCTGCAACTTCACGTTCAGATCACAGGTTCTCTAAGGCAGCCTCATTGTTCTTACTTGTTTACTTTAATCATAAGAACTTGTTACACGTTTATAATGAGAAAATGCTGTTTAGGTTTTATTTTATATTGGGGTTCTACATTAGATTTTAATTTTTTAAAAAAGGATTTCAGCACTCCTTATAAAGTTTGGAAACC